CTGTAATTCTGAGTGTTTTATGTGCTGCAGAACAGGAACCTGCTGTAAAACAGCAATTATGCTGAGTCAGGCTTGATTTTTAATAATCTTTTCCTGTTAAATCAATAAATCAAATCAAATCAAAGCATGGCAGAAAAACCCAGGGCGCAGACGAGTTTCAAAAAGGTGTGACAAAGGCTTTATTAGCAAACAAAAGGCTGTCGGTGCAGCTCAAAAAACCTTCAGTACTTACAGAGCTTGGAGGACTGAAACACAGGACAAAACAAAGCACAATGATCCGACAAAGACAGGAGGACAAGACTCAGAATATAAAGCAAACAAATTAAAAGTAAATGAGAAACACCTGGGGAGACACGAGAGGAATCAGGTGGGCGGGGCTGGGGGCAAGACAGCAGGGAAAGGAAAACACAGGGGAACAGAAAAACACTCAGAAAAAAATGAAGACAAAAAAAAAAACATCATGACAAATCCGGGACCAGTTTGTGGATGAATAATGTTGGGTGACAAGTCTCTGACTTGTTTTTTCAAATTGGACTCCACCGAGAAGAAACCCCGTGCATACTGCTGCTTAAATGTTCACTACGTCAGAACTTATTCAGCAAATGTGTTTCCATCTCTGCTTTTGTGCATTAACTCTTATAGGATGGAGGAAATTGGTCTTGGTGGAGATTTGCACTCTCCGAGTGCTTCTAGTTTGTTTTGCTTTAATAATTATTTTCTTCTTCTTCCACAGCTCCTGGTAATGAGGTTCTTAAGCGTTTCCTCCATCAGATGTCAAGTTACAGAATATTTGATAGCAGAGAGATGTTGTTCTCTGTGTCCAGCAGGTAAAGGTCTCTCTTTTTTGACAATCATGAACCATAACCATGGTTTAATATCAATTCATCCATTTTCTTTACCTGTTTTTCTTTTCTGGCTGTTGGGGCAGCTGGTGGTCTCTGAGAGGTGGTCCACTCTGGACAGCTTGTCTGAACATAACACAGACATTTATGGTCAACATTTATTGTTAATATAATCAAATATGTTTTTTCCAAACAGGAACTTGTGTTAAAACAGACTGTAGTCATGAATCCAGAGTCTCTTCATGTCAGCTCTGTCCAAATGAAACCTTTATGGATCGACCAACTGGAAAAAGAATCTGTTCTCCATGTTCTTCATGTGCTGCAGGTAACTTCCTGTTTGTGTTAAATGTGTTCCTCTGGTTTCACTTGACTTAAGTCTTGTTCAGTCAGAGTTCAAGTTGTCTTTGTGTTTCCAGGTTCTGGTCTAAAAGTAAAGAAACCCTGCTCACGCAGCTCAGATACAGTTTGTGAAGCTCTGGAAGGATTTTTCTGCCTGGAACTGACAGGTTCAGGCTGTTCAGCAGCTCAGAAACACAAGAGCTGCAAACCAGGACAATACATCAGCACAACAGGTTGGTTTGCTTTGACTTTAGACAATCTGCAGAGACTAAACTGGACCTTAGAAAACTCTTAGAGTTCAGAGAGCAGATGATGTCATTTCTGCTCCACTTTCCTGCAGGAAGCTCCTCCTCAGACGCTGAATGTTCTGACTGCAGCAGTGGAACATTTTCTAATGGATCATCAACATCC